GCATTGATATACTATATAAATATCTTATATATTTTCTGGTTTTTAGATAAAGCACCTCAAACAATTAGCTGCTCAAATATATAACAATATGAAGGAATTATTCTATTCATTGAAATATAGTCTTAATACGCAGCAACAATAAAAGATTTTGTTTCATTTAAAAAGAAACATGATTAATATATATGCAAAATTGTATAAAACAAATGCGATAAGCAATTGTCAAATGAATGATTCGTTTAAGTTGATGGGCACCTTGCGATTATGTTTCTTTCATCTTAGAGTTGTCAAACTTAAAGTACATGTATCGATTGTTCAAAGCACTTTTACTTTCTTCATGTATAATATCATTAATTAGGTTAAATACGAAAGACAATATAGTCACTATTAAATCTTCCAAAGAAAACATTTACTAAATCTTAATTAATATGTCCTTCTAGATCTGTGAATTGCACCATAAACATTCGCCTTAAAATCTTCCGCACAACATGTTTCGTTAACAGTACATGAAAAATATAGTGCGCTAGCAAATTGTCGTTGTTTTTATGATGTTATCTTAAACAGAAGTAGTAATCAACCGTGGGTACATAAAACACAAATATTTTTTTCGAAACAGCTAGTTAACTTGTAAGCACTGTTTGATGTTTCAAAATACAAGAAATTGTTCACCCATATGCGCGGGCGTACATAAAAATGAAATCGGAGGTGTATTCGCGGGAAACCAGGAGCGAGCGTCGCTCCCCTCGTCGTGCACCGCTTCGTTGATCCTGATCTCGATGCCGACGTTGTCTACGGGAGCCACGTCGGGCATCTTAGCCCGCGAATTCCGTGATTGGATATTCCACACACAGAAGCACAGAGTGAACTTTACGGTTCTCCCAACTGTTTGTTAGAACGACGCTGCAGTAGAGTCGTACACCTCCGAAATTGGCGAGCGTCCCAAGAAAAGAAGAAGTTTCTCTTTTCACCTCACCTCTTATCACTCAGTCACTATACACTAGAAGCCTTCGTGAATACCTTGATAACCGACCACGCGACGTTGCTGCGCGCACATACAACCGCGAAAAGTGCAAGCCAACCCCGAACGCAATCGACACATTCAACGCTCTACGTCGCTCGTACGACGTACGTACATGTTTAATTTCCCGACGTGCAACGGGGCTCTGTACGCTGGATGGATGGATGTGTAGATGGATACTTCCTTCTCTCTCGTTGATCGAGATTCTCGATCCCTCAATACTGCCAACTATTGCATACCTACTATCTTCTAGGCTGTGCATTTTATTTTGATAATTTTACAATTTTATCGTTAATAATTGACATTTGCGTTGAAATATTACTTATGTAGCAGAAATAGATAAATATTTTTGGGTTTTAAGAAGTTTTACGATTCTATTTAATAAGCAAATAAGAATTATATAAAAATGAAGGTTATAAGAATTTAAATGCTACGCACACACATGTATATTTTTCGCGGCTTATTACTTTAAAATGTTTTATTAGTAATTGCGTGTATTTACAAAGTTCTATGCTTAAATCTTTCATTTCATTTCAATTCTATATATATTTGCAACAATGTGCAACGTAATTCTGTAATTATAAATTGCACTTTCTATAAAAACTGAAAGCAATAATGTAAGTTATTAAATGTTAATACTTATGTAGAGCTATACCTTTTTATATTAGTTATAGAATTATTTAATGTGTATGAAGCACTAAAAATTAAATTTAATAAAAAAATAAGCGAATAAAATTATGATACAACATATTGTAGAAGCAGCATCTTTTTAAAAGCTTTTTAACATAGCAATGTAAAATAATAATTACGAGACCAGTTGACGCCAATATCAAAACAATGCAAATTTTATAGTTGCTTTATTTTTTAATTCGTTTATTTATAGTTGGTGTATTTAAAGTTCACACACAATTAATAATTTATACAGTGTATACAAGTTTATATAAATGCAATAAAAAGAAAAATTTGTTATAAGGGGTAGAAGGGGAACACAATATAACATGCAATACATTATACTACTATATTAAAATTATAAAATCAAAATTTTTATATTGTATAACTACACACGAAATCTATAAAATATTCTAGTATAAAACGATGAAACAGTAAATTATTCAATTTTCAATTGTTTTTTTATTGGCAATATGATTACACAGTAACATTGGTAAAAAGAAATGAAATTCTAATATTGATTATAAAATAAACTTATTGCATGCGTGAAGTAATTTAAAATTCATGTTTTAAAACACACAGCTCTCTTATTTATATTGCAACAGTTGGTGCAACTGTGTCACCGGGCGGGTAAGTGTAATTTCGATAATATTTTCCGTCAGAGGCGCTGATGTTTTGCAATAACGTTTACTATTCGTTTCCGGTTTATGTCGTAGCTAAACGACGTTCTTCATTTTTCGTTATACATCCGTTTGTATACGATAAGTACGGACACGTAAGTGGCTTATGCTAGGTTACAATATTTTCTATGTGATGCACGATGTAACAACGCGAGACCTGACGAACGTTACAAGTTGTATGATTATAACGATACCGGAAGTCCTGTAGTTTCGTTATCAACACGTATATTCACAGTTCATAGAAATGGCGACCGCCGTACCCTCAAGATTTGCAGTTCTCAGCATTGATGATGATGATTGTAAGCCGAAGAAAACCCAGAAAAGTGTTACTACCAGTAAGACGAATCAAAAATCTAAAAACGACAAATCGAAACAACAGCAGCAGACAAAAAAGGATGACAAAAAAAAACAAAATAAGGTATGACGCGTGTAGTTTTTGTTGTTTTTTTTGGTTTTTGATTAGCCGGTAAATGTCGCAGTATTTCTGGATACCCTGGCAGGAGTGTTAGTGTATTTCAAATTTAATTATTATTGATTTTGATTTTTATGTATATAACAAATTTTAGTACATCTTAAAATTTAGAAAGCAAATTATTTCTATAATATTTTTACCTGTTCATAATGGAAAACAATCATTGTAGTAACGAATAGAAATTTAAAAAAATCAATGTTTTATTTGTGTTATATTTTCTTCTTCTTTTTTTTTTTAGCAGGGAAAAAAGAAAAAACCTAATAACAATAATAATGAAAGTCAACAATGGGAACAATGGAAACAAAAAGATACAATGGTAAGGTATAAATTGTTTATAATATATTATGTTCATTTGCCATTAGTAGCTTTATTACATATTAGCTTTATGAGATTTTGTTACAAATTTAATGAGATTTAGTTTTTAGTTGGACATTTATACAATCATTCCCAATGAATTGTGTGTAATAAGGAGAGCACAGGCCTGATTGATATGTGTGAAAATTATAGTATAGTTTCCAATATAAATTGTTAAAGCTAAGGTTTTGTTTCAGTAGTGACATATTTATAAGTGTTATGTGTTATCACGTCCAATTGTGATTTCCTTAAGGCTGTCGAGGAAACGTTTGAGCAAGAATTACATCAAGCCATCTTACTGTCAAAGCTGGCTTACGAAGAGCAACTAGTAAGTGCAGCTAGGTCAGACAAAGAACAAGAGTCAAACAAGAAATCAGGGAAAAAATCGAAAAAGGCTACCATGTCATTGGAGGAATTCAATAGTATGGGATCAAATACTACACAAACTCCAGTATTACCTCCTGAAATTGTAGACACTAAAGCAAAAGGTAATGTGTTTTTATATTTAGAGATTTTTATAATACACATATATAGAAAATACTGAAAGTAAGTAATTTTAATTTTACAGAAGTAGATACAGAATTTTTTGACAGAGTTGAGAAGGAGACAAAAGAAGAAATTACAAAGGGAAAAGAAAAAGATATATTGAAAGCAAGGCTAAACAAAATTGATGATGACATCACAGCAGCTCAGTTAAGGGTAGAAGTGGAAAAACGTGATGAAATTATTAATCAATTAAGAAATCAAGTGGAAAGCTTAAAAGAAGAATTAACACAAGTTAAAGAAAGGAATAAAAAGCTTTATCAAATACTATCTCATGGAGAAAGTAAGTTGATGGCATTTTATCGGTAACAATGTAATATTGCAAATATAATTGATTATCTTACTTCTGTTTATTTCTTAGTGAAAGATAAAGCCTCGGTATTAGCCGAAGTAGCAAAATTACAAGAAATACGAGATGAATTGACATCGGAAGTATCATCTCTGCATGCACAATTAGAACAAGAAAGGTCCAAAACACGTACTAGTACTACGGATGTCAAACCATCTAAACAAACTGTAAGCTTTTTTTTAGAAATGATATATTAAGCATAACATAATTAAATATCTCCAATTATATATAACAAATATTTATTTTTTAGAATAAGAAGAGGCCTGCTAGTGAAAATGCCTAAACTACAAACTATTTTTGTTGAATATAAAATACTAAACTATTGTGATCTACAAAGCTTAATTTACTGCTAATGGTTAATCAGTTAACAGTCTTAAAAGACTGACGCGTAATCATTAAAATTTAAAATTTCATGAAAATGTATCACATATTTGACTTTTAAGCACGTAAAATAAGTTTTTAAGTAAATATTTTTTAGGTACATAGAAGTTCACTTGAGGAACACATGGCCATGTTCATATTTTTCTAAACTGTACATTTTCACTTATAATTCAAGTCTCGTTTTCTTATAATACGATGCAAGGATGGCATTTTTCTTTTCATTTAGACTTTCTTGCACAATAATATCTGATATTGCAGTCAAGTTAAAGTAGAAAACTTCTGCAACGATACTTCCAGTATGAAAACTTAACAATGTAAACAGTATCATTATCTTCCAAATTTTATGCGGACGTCAATGAGTGCATACTATCTGAAGTATTTTGTAATAAATATATTCTACAGCATTCTTGTTGACGTTAATAATTTCCTTAATATTCTGTTGCAGTGATCGGTAGAATTAATATATTTTCGAGAATCTATTGAATATTTTAGAAATAATGATATTTTATTCAACGCGAATATTTATAGATGTGGAAATATTAAAAAGATGATCAAATTTTTTCTTCTATGAGACTGAAACAGAATTATATATACGAAAGAAAAATTTCAGGTCCTAAATGTAAGCCATATTTATATACAAACTGTCATGAATGTATCAAACTAAATAACGAAATAAATATATTTTTTTCACAAAACATTTCGATATTCGAAATTTATTAAGCATAAAATCCAGTTATTCAAGTTGAAAAGATACGTTTGTTTAAATAAATCAGTTTTTTTTTTTTCATATTAAAGCATACTAAGCAGCCAGTTATGTATTCTTCATTAGAGACGAGAATAACGTACTTCGAAGTTAACGAGTACTATAATATTTCTTTCATATGTCCCTTTGCAGTCTTCGATTGCTATATACCAATTCTATGTTTTTTCCGCCATTTCCATCGGTGACATAGCCATTCGCGCTAAGCTTCATCCGGATTATACGTACGGGTGCATTTTTATGGAAATTTTTTGTTCACTTTTTCTGCCTCGAGTTATTCCAGGCGAAATTTTTTTCGACTCTCTCTCTTTCTCTCGCTGGCTTCAACATTCAGTTCGATATGTTACACCTCACGTTCCAATTCTTTTTTCCGGCTTTGCTCCATTCGTTTCCGAGTTCACACAAAAAAAAAAGGGAAGGAAAAAAATGAGAAAGGATTTGCATGTACCATGGTAAATTTAAATACGCATTATACTTTTAATTAAAAAGAGCCAACGGCTTAACTGTAAGCGGATAAACGAACGAGTTTTTTCTCTTTTTTCTTTTTAATATACGAAACATAAACAGAAATGAAATATTAATCATGTGTTAAACGTGAAACCAAAAGCATCAAGAAACGCACTCCGTGAATAACGTAATTGACAAAAGACGTAAAAAGTATTATTTTTTTATTTAAACGACAATAAGGAAATTAGGTCTATTTGTTGAAAAAAAAAAAAGAATCACCGAAATGATCCGCTTAACTGATAACAAAGTATTCCGTGTTATTCACCGCATGGAATGTTACGTTCGATGTTAAACGAAATTTTCAAAGGATCCCATGTAATATTTACAAACGCGTATAATCGATAGTTTCGTTTAATTTTTAGAGGAAACCGACTTGGAAGAACGACCCAAGCGTCTATTCAGCTTTTGACTGGAATCTTGACCAATAAAAGGGGCATTAACGCTAAGTGGACGCCTCGCCTACTCGGTCATAGTCCTGTTTGCTACAAGAGCAGAGGGTGGAAAGTATAAGGGGTACGGTTAGCGAGAGATACAACTGGGACCTAAGTAAAAGTCACATTTTTTTTTTTTTTATCTCGCTTATCACTCATACAACAGTACAACTATTCCTTCACATTTCCTTCCATCATCTCGAAAATAAAAATAAAAAGACATTAACACAAAAAACATAATGTACACCAAACTAAACAACAATCGATTATTTATTACATATAACAAACTTAGTTCCAAGAATAATATCGTAAAATTATTCATTTGTAATAAAAAGTTGAAAATTACTTTGTACAATTTAGAAACATTTTATCAAGTATAAATAAATGATCTACTCGATCGAAAATTTCTGCATCGTTTCAAGTATTGTCAAAGAAGTGATTAGCCTTGGCTTAGGTATTTCATAGTCGATCGATTAGTCTAATTTTCCGTGGGATCAGCGCCGCGGAAAAGTTTGTTCTTCGGCGAGCAAAAGTTGATGGTTTCGAAGCCGTCGCTGCCGAGAGAGAGGAGACGCGTGCGAGAAAGGGACGACGAGAGAAAGAGAGAGCACGATGAAGGGTGGGTTTTAGGACGTGGGATGGTAAAGGGGGTGACAGTGGGGATTCATTATCTGACAGTCTATTGTCATTCCTGCGGGCTGAGATTTTGCTCGGGCCAAGAGCAGCATCTCTGGTGTACGTCTGTGTACATACTATACGTATATGTGTAGTGATACGCGATATCTGCCATCAGAAACGCGTTCGAAAAGTCAGACATTTCCTTCGGTCCTTTTTCACTCTGTACCATTAGATACGTTCCGGTCAAACATTCCTTGACAGACCAATAAAGATCTTAATTTGTACGCTACTAACACGAGTGTCTCGTGTCAAATGTAAGTTGTTAACGTACTTTGAGTAATGTTTCAACTTCTCTGTTAATTTTTGTTTATTAACATGGAAGATTAGCGTGGAGGAATTGTAATTTGAGTTTGTTGAAAATTTGCAAAAACGAGTAATAGAACGTATTTCACTTGATTTAATAAAAATATATTTAGCTCGAATTTTATTACAACGGTAATCATTTTCTGCGATCAAACGATCCGGATAGTTTCATTACGTATTTTCGATATTTTCATATGGAAATTCTATCAAAATTTTCGATGTTCTCCGATACCGATGTATCCAAATACACACGTATCAATTCAACATTCTTTCCGACGTCATATTCGCGTCTAGATTGAAACAGGATATTCCATGCATGTAAATTTATTCGAGACGAAAAGGTGAAAGCGCGTACCACAGAATACAGTTTTAATACAGAACCAGAAAGAATCAAGACGCGTAATCAAACGTGGACATTTCGAGAGAGAGAGAGAGAGAGAGAGAGGGACTCTGTGTAACGCTTCGTATCCTTTTCAGTTTAAAAAAGAAGAAAGAGGAAAAAAAATGGTCGAAATTTTCAAAGATAACGTTGAATATACATATATCTGTGAACAACGATATTCAACTGAAAAAAGCAGAATTATATCTACATATTATAATTGTACACCTCAGCGGACGATATACCGGTGGATGTTATGTGTAGACACACCGAATCTGTCACGGTACAATTGCAAAAGAGATTTCATTTTTTCTTCCTCCCTTTTTTTTTGCTACCTTCAGACACGACACTGCGGCCTACATTCTTTGTTTTATTTCAAACAAAAGTAAATACGCGGCTTGCGCGAAAAAGACGAACGGAAAATTAATCCAAACATTAGGCAGGAAAATTAAGGGGGCCCCGTGCAAACAACGGTTGGTACTCGTTATTACGATCTTATTCATCGCGGTGTATTCCACGGTGTCATTAACGCTCCCGCGGATGTACTGTCGTTCGCGATATGAAGTGTCGTCGCCTATGTCGCTCCGTGAGAAAATTAAGACTAACGAGGAAAGCGTTTCTGTATCGCGAAATGGGGGCTTCCTTCCAGGCGAAAAAGAAGTTTCGCGAGGAGAGACGATCTCGTCTTTCCACGGGGAGATAATGAGATCCGAGCTCCGACGCCCGGCTCGATCGCACCCTATCATTTTTCACTACTGATTCAAGAAAGTATCTACCTCACGGGCAACATCCTGATCCTGCGTTTACCGTCTGCGTTCACAACTCCTTATCTGATACCCGTGTACACCGAGTCAACAATTTCTCTACTTATCTTTCGCCCGTCTGTTTATCAATGCTCGTTCCCCTGGAAATGGTTCAATTGCGAATTTCGAAATTGTTCTGCGCGCGTTATGGTTACACTTCGATCGAGTTCTCGTTAATTCAACGAGATAACACTTTTCGAAATTCAGAGAATGAAAATTCTTAATATTTATCGCATAGGTTGAACATTTGAACAATTTACACATGAAAATTGAAGTGATGATTAGAATTATAGCTATCATAATCCTCGAACGTAATCAATTTTATACATTCAATCGTAGGATCGAATAGATTAGATTATGCTAAATTAAAGTTCGCCATTCAATGCTTGAATCAGAACGTAACATTTCATACTTGACATTTTCCCAAAACATTACTCCAGTAAAGACACCAAGCTGTCCAATAAAATCCGCCAAACCGAAAAGCAACGATTCAAACAAAAACCAATATACATAATACTGGAAAAAAAAGAAAAAATAAAAGAAATCGATGGCATATAAATATACATATATCGTATTAGTACACGTCACACTTCTCCGCTAAATATCAAAAAACGCGTCACCCCGAACGACCCTTAATCCCGGCCCCATCTCGCATCGCCCTCGACTCACGCGGCCAAATCAACCCACCTTACAATCAAAGTAACTTTCCCCGGTGTTTCAACGGGGCCGAAACCTTTTACCCCTCGAAAATCCATCGATCCGCGTGTAAAGAAAATCAACGGGCATCGAATCGCGTACCCTCGACACCTTCGAGATCAACTCTCTCTCACTCTCTCTCGCGGTCCCTCCGTGTCTCGTCCCCCGGGGGGCGGTGTGCACCAGGCGGCTGTGGAATATTTTTACATGCGGCTTAACGCGAAAGCATGTCACTCATACGTGAAACGATTAAAGTTTTAGAAGTATCGATTCCGTTGGCGTTACCGTTGACAGACAGAGGGATCGTCAAAGAGCATAATAATTACTGCGCCCGCAGAGAAGAGG